TATTATTGTCAATGTTGAAAACAGTTGTGCAGCTTCATATTTTTGAGGAAACCGTGATACATTTTTTTCCAGGATTCTCTGGTATATAGAAAGTTCAAAAGAACAACATTTATTTTAAATAGAAATCATTTAGATTATATATGTCTTTAATGGCACTTTTTTTTTTTTATCAATCTAATGCACCCTTGCTGAATAAAAAAATAATATACAAAAACAGACTATCGGAACCACAGTGACCACGGACTTTTATTTTGAAACGATTAAGCCCGAACAGATCATGTGCATTTGTTTGTACTGGATGGGAAGTGTTGCTCAGATATGATTTGTTTTAGCTGCTGTTTAATAGATTGTAGTCGTTAGTCTGTAGTTGAAAGGCCATGCGCTCGGTCAGTTATGTGCAGCGCGTGAGTTTAGACTTCACAGGAACAATCTTTCCTCACGCCATCTGTCTTGGAGATGCAGATAACGACTTGGTAAGTTCCAAGTGTTTGCATGTGTGACAGATGTTAGTTTAAATGACTCGGTTTATCATCATAACTGCAGCCATGTCATATGACTAGTATTTTTAGGGCTTTCATATTCACTATTATTTGATATTGGCAAATCAGATGTGGTTGTTTTTTCTGCAGTTGAATGAGCTGGTGGTGGGAGACACTAGTGGGAAGCTGTACATCTATAAAAATGATGACTGTAAGCCCTGGATCACGAGGACATGTGTGGGCATGGTGAGGAGCATGACCATGTAGTTGGTAAATTATGAATAATGTCATGATGAATATATTTGATTATGAAAATTAATGATGCTGTGTTTATTCCTAGTTAACGTGTTGGAGTGGGAGATGTTTGCAACAAAGGAAGGGTAAGACTGTCTTTCTCTCTCTTCTTCCCTCTACAAGGGAAGGGCTGGTGGTACCATGGTATAATGATGGTTTTAGCTGATAAAACCATTGTATTGATTAGTGAACACTGCATTCATGTAGGTATTTACATAGTATCAGTTAAGTTTCGGATATTATTAATACATTTATTCAATAATTTATTGGTAAGGGAGTGAGACCAGTAGATATTATTAATACTGTTATATATCTTATCTCTATATCTATGTCTTATATAAATATATTAAATCTATTGATTATTTACATTACTATTTAACATATATTAATATATAATCAATTAATTTAAATCAATTAATTTAAATAATTGATAAGTGTAGTTTTTAATTAATGATCAACATATAATATATATATATTATTTATTTATTTTTGGTCATTACCTTCCAGATTTGTTTTTCATAACTACATTTTAAAAAAACATTGTCATGCCATGGTTCTTTTTTCTTTTTAAATAAGTGTTATTTTGTTAGTGTTACATCTTTCATACTTCATACTCACATTTGTAACATGGCTTTGTTTCTGCACTGGCAGAACTTTGTTGTGGCGGTTGGTGCGGAGGGCTGGTTTCACCTGTTTGATATCAGCGCTGCTGCAGCCAAATCAGACTCCTCAAGTCAGCAGGATGGTTCGATCGGGGACGAGCAGAAGCCCAGTTACACCCAGCACATCCCCGCCAATACCAAAGTGATGCTCATCAGTGATATTGGTGAGGAATTTGCATAAGACATGCACAAATATTTCTAAACCTTTTCAAATCCAGTGAATATTGAAGTTTTTGTGCACTTATAAGATGGAGACGGGCGCTGTGAGCTTGTCGTTGGCTACACGGACCGGGTAGTGCGGGCGTTCAGGTGGGAGGAACCTTCTGATGCTTCAGATTTGAGTTCTGGTCAGATGGTCTTACTGAAGAAATGGCTTCTGGATGGCCAGGTACTGAACTAGATGCATCAGACATCAGGTCAACATGAAGTTCAAACTTTATTTCAAATCAGGTCAAACTATTATAGCCTTTTCATCTGCTTTCACCAGGTTGACAATCTCTCGGTTAACCCAAGTCCAGAAGGTCTCCCTGAACTAATGGTGTCTCAGCCCGGCTGTGGTTATGCTATTCTGATGTGCTCTTGGACACAAGAGGGCGCTGCAGGACCTGGGGATGAAAACACAGCAACTCCTAGCAGGTGAGAGAATCACAATGAGGGTTAAAGGGTTAGTTCACCCAAAAATGAAAATTAGGCTGCGTTTTACTCACCCCCGAGGCATCCTAGGTGTATATGACTTTCTTCTTTCAGACGAATCTGCTTCCAGTATACAACAGTGAGCGCAAGCTAGATTAAAGTGATTATTACGTTTTGAGTATGGATATTTTTCTTACAAAAACACATCGATTCGCTACAGAAGGCCTTTGTTCTCCCCCCGGAGCCGTGTGAGATACTTTTTTTTTTTATGGATGGGTGATTTTTATTTAAGTTCTTTTTGACTGAAGCAGTGCAACACCCGCTGAGTGGCATTAAACAGCTTGAAAGATCAAAGACAATTTTTAATAGAACTCCGACTGGATTCGTCTGAAAGAAGAAAGTCATATACAGACGAATCCACTAGTTAACATGTGTTGGAGTGGGTGTATATGACTTTCTTCTTTCAGACGAATCCAGTCGGAGTTATATAAAAAATTGTCTTTGATCTTTCAAGCTGTTTAATGCCACTCAGCGGGCGGGGCACTTGAATCTAGCTT